CCCCCCCCCCCTCTCTCGCTCCCCTACGGCGCGCCAAGAAGCAACGATAGTTCTCTTCTTTTATTTCGTTTTTTTTCTTGTGTTTATATATATTTTTTTCTTTATTGTGTGAGGTGACACCCCGTACTTGGCGGGCTCCGGCCAAGAAGCAGCGACTGGGCCTTCCCTTGGCCGACCCCCGTATACAGGAAGGCCCGCGACCGATAGCTGAGCGAGGTACTGGTGGTTTAAGCACACGATCGAAATTATTCCTGGTAGTAAGATTGCCAAGGGCCCTATCTACCGAATGTCTCCTAGGGAACTTGAGGAACTTGAGAAACAGTTGCAGGACTTAATAGAGAAAGGATGGATTCGCCCTAGCTCCTCTCCTTATGGTGCCCCTGTCCTCTTTGTGCTAAAAAAGGAAGGCGAGTTGCGTCTTTGTATTGACTATAGAGGGTTGAATGCCGTCATTGTTAAAAATGTCGAACCTCTTCCACGTATTGACGACTTGTTGGACCAGTTGCAGGGCTGCAAGTTCTTTAGTAAGAATGATTTGAAGTCTGGGTACCATCAGATCGAGGTGGACCTCGCGGATCAACACAGGACTGCGTCCCGAACCAGGTATGGTCACTACAAGTTCGTGGTTATGCCTTTCAGACTGACTAACGCCCAAGCGACCTTTCAAAGATCTATGAATAAACTGTTTCGTCAATGGTTGGATCAGTTCGTCATTGTCTACCTTGACGACATTCTAGTGTACAGTAAGACACTAGAAGATCATGAAAGACAGTTAGGTCTGGTATTAGGAAAGTTCCGGGATGGCAACTTTAAGTTAAACCCAAAGAAGTCCGAGTTCGCTAAGTCTGAAGTCTTATATCTCGGACATATAGTGAACGAGGAGGGCCTAAGGCCCGAAGAAAAGAAGATATCAGCAATTAGAGATTGGCCACGACCTAAGTTTGTAACTGAGTTACGATCTTTCCTTGGTTTGGCAAGTTACTACAGAAAGTTCGTCAGGAACTTTCCACTTATCGCCGCACCAATGAGAAGATTATTGAAGAAAGGAACTATTTGGTTGTGGGACAAGGACTGTGAGTCTTCCTTTAAGAAGGTAAAGTATGCTTTGACTCACTATCCTGTTTTGAAAATTGTTGATCCGTCTCTTCCCTTCATCGTTACTACTGATGCAAGTCAGTACGGAATTGGCGCAGTGCTTCAACAAAACGACGACAATGGTTATAGACCCATTGAGTTCATGTCTGCAGGATTGCCATCGGATAAGGTTGCCAACTCCACCTATGAAAGGGGTATGCACTAGTCTGCGCACTGAACACCCAGAAACACTACTTGTTAGGGAGGCACTTCACTTTGTACTCAGACCACTCTACCCTGAAGTGGATAAAAACACAGCTTAGACTCTCTGATAAGATGGTACGATGGTCTGCTTTCCTTGATACTTTTGATTTTGAATTGAAAACTATCAAAGGTAAGTCTAATATTGTTGTAGATGCATTGTCCAGACAATGTGATTTCTTTGGTACTATTATCTCTTACTTGGATGTTTGGAATGACTTGAAAGACATAATTCGTAAAGGATATGCTACTGATCCTATTGGGAAGCCTATCATGAATGTCCTCGCGAAGGATCCATCTTTACTTCCCAACTATAGAATAGCCGATGGTTTGTTTTTCTTGATAGACCAAACTGAACAAAGATTGTGTATTCCTCATCACCAAGAAATAAAGAGTTTGATAATTGGGGAATGTCATGACTTTGAAGGACATTTTGGTTTCAAGAAGACTTACGCAGAGGTTAGAGAACGCTTTGAGTGGAAGAGACTGAAAGAAGACGTACTAACTTATGTTCGTACATGTTTGGTGTGACAGAGAAACAAACTGTCACATGAGAATCTACTTGGTCTTCTGAAACCATTACCGATTCCTAGTGAACCATGTGAGTCTATCTCAGTGGATTTCATGAGTCTCACCAAAAGCCGGAACGACAATAGTTAAGTAATGGTTATTGTGGATCGTTTCTCTAAGTATGCCATGTTCATTCCCTTACCCGCAGAGGCACATACATAACTTGTGATCCAAAAATTTCAGATGCGATGGGTGACTGAATAGGGATTTCCCCCCTCGATTGTGTCTGATTGTGACGCCAGGTTCACAAGTATGCCATGGCAAAAGCTCATGGAGGCATACAGTACACAACTCACCATGTCGTCAGGGCGACACCCTGAAACGAATGGACAAAGTGAGCAGATTAACTGTTTGTGCCAGCAACTTTTGCGCATGTATGTGAGACCCGATAGGATTGATTGGGACGAGAACTTACCCAAGATAGCAAGTGCATACAACAATAGCGTTCACACCGCTACCGGGCATACGCCTAATGCACTGCACAAGGGGTGGAAACCTAAGCGTCCCATTGACGTACTAACACGAGACCAATTCCTTAGGTTACCTCCAAGGACCCGAGAGTATGAAGTATTGTTTCAAGAAGACATTAAGAAAGTAAAGGACAATCTGAAGAAAGCTCAAGACCAAATGATTGAACAATCTAACAAGCATCACCGACCCTCAACATTCAAGGAAGGTGATCTAGTTTGGGTCAAGTCCAAAGAGTTTTCGTTGGAAGAAAATGTGTCTCAAAAACTTATGCCTGTCTATTTTGGACCCTGGGAAGTTCTTAAAGTAATTGGGGATGCAGAGGGACCGTCTTATCGAATTGATATTCCCCCTCACCTCAAAACGTATCCTGTCTTTCACGCGTCCAAACTGTTACCCTATGTAGAAGGAAATTAGTTCCCACACAAGCCTTCTATGATTCCGCCAGACATGGACAACGGATATGAGGTAGACAAAATCATAGAGCATGGGTACTTTTCTACAGGTTGACGTGGACGACCCCAGAAGCAATTCAAGGTACGTTTCAAATCTCAGACACCATCTGAGGACAGATGGTTCAGTAAACGAGAATTACTTGAAACTGCTCCTGATATTGTATCTGCATATGAACGTGGGTTGAAGTCTGAGTTATTTCTGCGATGGAACTCGAAATGGGTCGGCAAGAATGCAGTAACCCGTGTTCTGCAGCAGTTTGGGGCCTCGAAACGGAGCCCAGACAACGCAGGCCAAACTCGGCCTGCACCAGGCAGTGTGACCACACACGGCCCATGGGAAAATCAACAGTCTAAGTCAACTGTCCGGTAAAAGGTACCCCGCCCAGGCCCTTGGTCGAATACCCTCACTTGTTGTGCGCAGGTACCCAGACAGCATCGAGGCCAGAAGGAATTCGGTTTCAGGCCAATCTGGGCCATCATTTGCATTGAGATCTGGACGGCTGAGGGATGCAGCATCCGGGGTCCAGACCCCGCGTCAACGCTACATAAACGCTGACTTCCTGACTTTGATATTCATTCGGTCTTGCGTCAATGCTGACTGCATGCGTTGACGCTGTGACGCTGGCTCGACGCTGCGACGCTGGTGGACGCTGGCTTTGTGCTGGCACTTGGGAGATTACGGCGACGTGCCGCTGGCTTGACATGGTGGCTGGCTGGCTATTGTCTTTAAGGCATGCTGACGTGGCAGCTGCCACGCGTTGCTGCTGACGTGGCTGCTGCCATGTGTTCTATCTATTGACGTGGTTGGGCTACGTGACCAACATTGCTGTTCTGATTCATCGTCACTCGGGAGGAGATCATGACTGTGGGATGATTGTGGACACGTACCTGGTTATCTTGAGGTCGACATTGCTCCAGTACACTGATGAGGGACTGATCGACGTGCCACGTGGCACATTGTAGTAGAACTTTGGATATGCGTTCAGACTATTGATTATTTGAGATGGTGATCAAGGAGGGAGCCCAAAGCAGAAGTGGGCATTCGCCTTATTCCTCTTCTTTGTCTAATCTCCCTCCTCTCTTCTTCGTCTGTGTATGATTCTCCCATCTCATTCTATCTGGACACGATTCTGATTATTGGTAATCGTCAGCAGTTTGTTATTGTGTGCTTGCATTGTTGACAAGTGTCTTCACGATCTGGGTTCATTGCAAGCACTGACAATTAACTAAATTTAGTAAATTACTAGGGTGCTTTTCTGGGCGCCTGGGCACCCAACTTGTGCCCAGATACATGCCCAGGCGCCGTAGTGGAACTTTGGGCTGGGGTCACACCAGAGTTCCTCACTGATTCGAAGATAGAACAGAAAATAACAGAATCAGACCCTCCTTAGCACCTTTCAAACCCAATTTATACACCTGTTTGCCCCCCTTGCCAGCCAACACTCGAAAAAAGAAAAGAGCCCAGTTTCCGGCTCCTCCAGGGATGCTCGGAACCCCCCCGGAGGAGCATAAAACCAGCCTCTTTTCTTTTTTTTTAGTATTGACTGGAAAGGGGGGCGAAGGTATTGATCCCACTTGTTCCCCCGGGCGGGTACCCTGGCCGTCAGACCCCCCGGGTGACTTGGCCAGATGCTTGGCCTGTCCTGCAGAGCCGGGCAGCCCAAGTAGCCTAGGTAAATTAGTATTTTTGAGGCAGAGAACCATTCCCCACCAAAGTATTAACAGTTGTATATTTATGTTTTCCCCGTTTGCCCTTTTTTTGCAGGAGATTAAAGTTGTTGATCTTGAGGAGCCTGTTGGATGGTTCTATGTCTCGTTGCGACCAAACGAGTCCAAGTAAGTCGCGTCGATTCTGCTGGCGCGTACTTTATTGTTGTGTTGTATCCTATATGTTGCATGTATCATCAGTTTCTTTGTTTTGCATGTTATATTATTAAGTGGTTTGTCATCAGTTTGCAAGGAAGATGAGCATTAGCGAACTTCAGCAATCAAACAGCATCATACATATGAGCCCAGATAGTCTTGACCTCGAACCACAGCAGACTTGCAWCACGAGATACACCAAATRAGAACACAYCAAGAGTTCAWAATTGACAATGCTGAAGTAGTCCCATCATCATCAACTACGAACCAGAGTTGATATCCTATTGGCGCTYGGCGCCCTGACTACATGTGGCAGGTCCTATCTAGCCTATACTACGAAGCAGAATGATGACATCAACAGCGTTCCCGAAGTACGAGCATATGGCGACCAAAGTCGCACGCTTCAGCACCAGGTATGTCTCTCGTAACACTCACAACCCCGATCCACACCGCACAGATGCCACTAGCACCCAAGGACCACCCTGCGCTTCACCTAGCATACAGCAGCGCAGCTTGGCTTTGGCTGCGTGCTCCCTCCTACTCGCCCGTGAGAGCGTGAGTGCCAGCCAGCCAGCGGATAGCGCAGCAGCGCTCGCGCAGCATGCAGCCAGCACCCGAATGCCGAAATGAGAGGCAGGCCCTTCCCTATATCGAAGTGGCCTTCCTGCGTCCAGTCCAGCAAGCTTCCAGTAGGACCCGGTAGCCTGAGGCCCAGTCACGAGGAAAACAGGCCTTGGGCCTAAAGCGGTTGCATGCGCCCAACTGCTTTCGGCCTGTGTTCGGCCTGGTACCTGAATCCAGCCCAGGGCCTGTACTTCGTACATTCACACAGGCAGCCCAGGGCCTGGGTTCACTCAGCCAACTGGCGCTGCGCAACTGCCTGAATTTTCCCCAATACGGGGTACCCAGAAAAGCGAGGCCCGACGGGCCTGTCGTGCCTGCCTTCACTTAGGGCGGCCGACCTTGCTGCAAATAGGGCCCCGTAGGGGCTGAGCGGGCGTAGCCTCGCAAGTTGCATGTATCATCAGTTTCTTTGTTTTGTATGTTATATTATTAAGTTGTTTGTCATGATGGGCAGGACCATGATTATGCAATCAGACTCGTTCTCAAACACACTCTTCATGCATGTAAACAGCAACGCATCATACTGGCGACATGCGCCCAAAGAAAACTCAGAGATATGGCTTCAAGATACGAGTTCACTCTCAATTAGCTATGGCGACTTCAACGCCCACACAACTCTCACTGTCTACACACACTGGATCACCCTGGATATCCCACACGCATCACTCTAACACTCGAACACACACACACACACTTCCTACTAACTACAGCTATGGCAGCTATGGCTGCCACTAACCTATCACTATGCTAACTCCTCTCTCTTGCCCACTGCG